TATATATATATAAGGGGGAAAAGGAATTCATATTCATGTATTATTGTTATATTACTTGTATACAATCAAGTATTAAAGGGAAAAGAAGAAACAATAACTAAAAGAACAGGAAAAGAAAATAGAAGGAAGAAGACCTTACCTGCATGCATGGATACATAATCTGTGCAGATGGCTGATCATCTCCTTCTGCTCTTCCCATTATTTGTGAGCATCTCTTAACTCTGCATAGACAAAAAGGAAAAAAAGAAGAAAAGGAGAAATAAATATATAAATAACCTATCCATCTATCTATCCACAACATCCCTGTATATATATCTAAATATATATTATATTTATTTATACTTTATATTAATTAATTTATTTATTATTATATAATAATAATACCTTGAAATACTATTTGCCTTGGCAATATTCATAACGAGCTGCCAATACACCTCAGGTGCCTTCCCTATTTCTTCACTTGCCCATAAAAAGCGAACATTATCCATCTTCATACCCGCAGACTTCCATACTTCTATAAAATATTCTCCTACTTTACGAATCTGCAAAAAAAAAAAAGAAAAAATTCAACAATTTCAGGTGTATAGGCAGGTAGCAGGGTAGCATGCTTCCTGTTAATCAAGGAAGCACCAATGATTGTTTTTTTTTATTATTATTCTTGTGTATAATAAATGAATTATTTATCATTATATATTAAAAGGAAATATAATATATCTAAATAATTATTTAATATTTTCCTTGTTCTTTATACACCATATGTATATACAAGTTGAATAAGTTGAATAAAGAAAGGAGGAGAATATACAAAATATATATCTATGTATCTACCTGTTTACATCTAGATATTATAAATATATAAATAATAATAATATATTATAAATAAATATAAATAAAAATAAACTTACTTTTTTAAGATCTCCCCCCATCTTATTATTAAGCATAGCGAACCAATCAGCAACCCAGAAGACGAATATACACCCCGCGCTTGTTAATTTATTCACATTTTTTACTTTTAATAATCCTTGAGCAATATGCATCCGACCGCTTGGCTCAAATCCATCATACGCTATCGGGAATTGTTTTTTTTCTAGTAATTTCGCCAACTCCTGCAGCAGCAGCAGCAGCAACAGCAGCAGCAGCAGTAATAGCAGCAACAGTAGCAGCAACAGGAAATATGATACATCCATACAATTAACTTCATCTGTATCCATACACAAATACTTTTATATATAATATATATATAATATATATTATTTATTCATTTATTTTATTTATTTATTTATTTATTTATTTATTTTATTTATTTATTTATTTATTTACATCTTCTTGAATACATTCTTCAGCAACAGATAAACAACGAGCAATTCGCTCCTCAAGGCTGAGGGTAGAAGGAATAGGAGGAGGATATCCACTAAATATATCGGGACCCTTGCTGCTATTGCTGCTGCTGCTGCTGCTGTTGCTGCTACTACTGCTGCTGTTGTTGTTACCGTTGCTGTTGCTGCTGTTGCTGTTGTTACTGTTGCTGTTGCTGCTACTGTTGCTGCTGCTGCTGCTGCTGCTTCTCTGCACAGCGCCTCCTTCAGCAGCAGACGTTGCCATGCCAGCTGAGGCGATGGGACGGGAGAGAAGATATTGAAGACTCTGAAGGCAAATACATAACATACAAATAAGAGGAAATAAATTAATCAGTTATTTATATTTGCAGGACAATTTCCCTTGTATATAACAATAACAGGTGCATGCATGCCTGCATGCATGCATGGATAAATAGGAAACACAAAGCATTTGTTACTTTCTGTGTGTGTGTGTGTGTGTGTGTGTGTGTGTCTCGCAAGAAACAAACGGAAAAGGAACAAAGAGAGAGCTACATGCAACAGGACTTCTTGTTCTTAACAGGAAACACAGCGGTAAAAGAAAGGGTATACAGAATAAATTAGATTTACTTGTTCGTTTATTGTGTCATCTTTAGATTGGAGATGAGAGTCCCAAAAGGGAAGTCCGCCTGTAAAAGGCGAAGAAGTCATTTTTAATATGTTGACAATGGCGGTGAGTCGCGGAAAGTCTGCTGCCCTTTTTGTGTTTTTTATATGAAATAAACGAGGAAAAGGATTAAAACTAAGAAAATATTTATTTAAATGGAAAAAGGGAAGAAAAGAGTATTTATGACGTAAATCAGAAGAAAATGAAGAGAAGAAACGAAAAGGTGAACATACACCCGAAGAAGCGCTGCCCACTCTGAGCATCGATTGGGGGAGTCGCCCGTTCTTTTGTCTGCCAATTTAATTTTTTGTTTATTTATTTTTATTTTATTGAATATTTATAATTTTAATTGTATAAAGACAGAATACAACGCAAGAAAAAATGCCATTTCCTCATCACAATACCATTGCCAGCCCCGTTAATATAATAAACCCAAGCCCCATAGCCGACTAGCAGAAGAGGAATGAAGACGATCTAACAGGTAAAAATGGATAAAAAATGATACTTTTTCTCTGAATATATTCTTTTCACCATTTATAATTAAACAATTCAAGAGAAAAAGAAATATAGCGCGTCATTTCTTCCCTTGGAGAACTCTTATTCCCTCCTCATGATATATTCAACTTCCTGCGTCAATAGAAACCGCTAATGAATAAGTTTTGAATTTTTCGCGACTTTTTCTTCAGAAATAATTCAATTATTCATTTATATCTTCTGTATACATAATTAATAGTCTTTTTCTCCATCCAGACAGCATTTCTTTGCCTTATTATAAGTATTGTATATCTATGTATATATTATAATAATATTATAGTATATACATTTCCTTACTTATTTTTTTCTCTTTTTTTTTCCTTTACTATAATGGCTGCATATAAGCCTCCTAGTAAGGCATTAGCTCCTCTTTATCGTCAATTCTTGCGTGCATGCGAGAAGACATTTAGAGGAGACTATGAGGCCCAAGAAACAATTCATAAAGAAATGATTAAAGTTATTCGTTATAATACTCTTAACTTATCCGAAGAAAACCTAAAAAAAGAACTAAAAATGGCTATAGACTTTGTTAAGTAAGAAGATAATTATATACATATTTATTTATTAATTTATACACAATAAAATATATATATACATAACATATCCTTCTCTTTCTTTCTTTCCCTCTTTTTCTCTTTCTCTTTTTCTTCCTCTCTCTCTATATGTATGTATATGTGTATATATGTATATATGCATGTGTATCTGAATGCACGTATACACCATCTGCATATACTTTTATATAATTTCTTTGCATCTATATAAATATAAATATACATATTATATATTATATGTAATATATAAATAATATACATTATTATATAT